AACTTTGTGTATATCTTTTGTAAATAATTTTATATGTGTCTTTTGTATACTATATCATGTTACATGTATTGTTTTCCAACATTATGTATATCTTTAATTTGTAAATGATTTTATGTGTCTTTTTATATAATATTTATAATTGTTATATTAGATTTTTTTTCAAAATTATCTATATCTTGTGTACATTTGTAAAAGAATGAGAAATGTAAAGTTTAGTTTATCAATCCGACTGGTTTGTTTGTTGGTTGTTGGTTGGTATGTTGGTTGGTTTGTTTGTTGTTGGTTGGTTTCCTAGTTTGTTGGCTGGTTGGTTTGTTGTTGGTTGGCTTCTTGGTTTTTTGGTTGTTTGGTTTCTTGTTGGTTGGTTTTTGGTTTGTTGGTAGGTTGGTTTTTGTTTGTTGGTTTGTTGATATGTTGGTTTGTTGTTTTGTTTGTTGGTTGGTTGGTTGGTTGGTTGGTTGTTTATTGGTTTGTGGTTGGGTTGTTGGTTGGTTGGTTGGTTGGTTGTTGCTTGGTTTCTTGGTTGGTTTCTTGGTTTCTTGGTTTGTTGGGTGGTTGGTTTGTTCTTGGTTGGTTTGTTGGTTGGTTGGTTGGTTTGTTAGGTGGTTTGTTGGTTTCTTGGCTTGATTTGTTGGTTGGTTTGTTGTTGGATGGTTTGTTGGATGTCTTTTGTATATTATTAGATTATTGTTTTCCAACATTGTGTATATCTTTTGTAAATAATTTTATATTTGTCTTTTGTATATTATGTTATATTAGATGTAGTTTGTTTTCTAAATTAGTGTATATCTTTTGTAAATAATTTTAGATGTGTCTTTTGTACTTTATATTATATTAGATTATTGTTTTCCAACATTGTGTATATCTTTTGTAAATAATTTTATATGTGTCTTTTGTATATTATGTTATATTAGATGTATTTTGTTTTCTTACTTTGTGTATATCTTTGGTGAATAATTTTATATGTGTCTTTTTTATATTATGGTATATTAGATGTATTGTTTTCGAACATTGTGTATATCTTTTGCAAATTTTTTGACGTGTCTTTTGTATGAAACATTATTAATTGTTATATATTTTTTTTTCAAATTATTTATATGTTGTGTACATTTGTGAAAGAATGAGAAATTTTAGTTTATCACACCGACTGGTTGGTTTGTTGGTTTCTTGGTTGGTTTTGTATTGTTTAATCTATGACGTCATGAAGTCTAAACTTCGTAATGTGCGTTATTTTTTTAGTTTTATCTGATGGTATAGACCGCTAAAAGATTGTTAAAAAACATTTGAATACTGAAAATTCGTTACTTTGCAACAAGGCCTCTTATTGAAACATGTCGGGTGCGGTCCTGGACGGCATTCTTGAATCTTTGACGTGAAGATGAATCCATGTGCGTTGATTCAATTCGATAGTATCGACCACTTAAAGATTATTAAAACTTGTTTGGTTGTTAGAAATTAGAAGATTATTTAATCAAATGAATACAGAGTCTGAAAGGCTGTGGTTTGCGTTGACATACGTATGTGCAATGTCTATTTACATCCTGTATGCGTGCTCATTTGCATACTTGGGACAATAGAATGCTCCCGCGCCTGAGGCGTCTACGAAATAGTGCATACCATTCGAATCGAAGGCTCAATCGAAGGCTGGCGAATCGAAGGCCGAAACGAGGGCTAACTTTAGGTTGGCGGCTGAGAGCGTGTCCCTTGAATCGGGTCGCGGAGTATAAAAGGCGGGCTGAAACGGCAGGGTTAGTGGTGGAGAAGGAACTCGGAGCCGCTGACCCTGCCATGGGAGGATGTGATTTCCTTGAGACCAAAATTGACCAATCAGAAGTGATCTACATCGTCGCAAAAATCACCGCAGGTCTAGGAACAAAAGCGCCACCAAGCGGCACAAAATATCACTGTAGTAATAGGAGCAGCTTGGAGTCAACATATCGGTGTAGTACGTCATTTAACTGCTAAAGGCCCCTTCTGATCCACGCACTTCACTCATGAAATAGATCTTGTAAGGTGATAGCACTGTGTAGTTATGATAAGGTCTCAAGTATGCAATGTAGTGTTGTAAACGTGAAGGCCTGTTGGTGATAATGGGCGAATGACGTCTGCTGTAGCATATTGCACATAAGGATTACAAGGAAAATCATAGCAGGCTGGTAACTCAGAATAAAGTGTGAGAAGCGGAGTCCAGTGTTTTCTCATTCTTTATGAAAGACTGCTGAACCCTATCCAAACATGTTAATTTGCCTGTCCTTTGTGCTGAACTCTTTCCACACAGGTTGACTTGCCTGTACTTGGTGCTGAACACGATCCACACACTAACATGCCTGTCCTTGCTGCTGAACGCTATCCACACACTAACATGCCTGTCCTTTGTGCTGAACAATATCCACACACTAACATGCCTGTCCTTGGTGCTGCACACTATCCACACACAAACATGCATATGCCTGTCCTTAGTGCTGAACAATATCCACACACTAACACACCTCTTCTTTGTGCTGGACACTATCCATATAGAATACAACACGGGGTATTCCGTATCGCCCGAGGTATCGGCCCGACTGCGGGTCGGATCGCCCGACGGCCGCAGGCCGGAGGGCGATCCGACTCGCGGGAGGGCCGGGACCGAGGGCGATGCGGAATACACCGTGTTGTATTTTATTTATATCATACCCACCCAAGAAAACACGCCTTTCAATGCAAGATGAGCCAAAAGTTGGTGCCACTGAACCCTAAAATGCAACAACATCAATTCCAACGTCCGGATTCTGTATTCGAATTTTCGAAAGGGGCACGCGCGGTTAGGGCGAAACGCGTTCGAATCGTTTTATGAAGGCCAGGGAAGCGTTCGATAACGGGTTCCGGACCGGGCCGTACCGTAAAGTACAGCCCGGTCCGGAACCCGTTATCGAACGTTATCGCGGCCCGGGTATGATATAAATATAGAATACAACACGGGGTATTCCGTATCGCCCGAGGTATCGGCCCGACTGCGGGTCGGATCGCCCGACGGCCGCAGGCCGGAGGGCGATCCGACTCGCGGGAGGGCCGGGACCGAGGGCGATGCGGAATACACCGTGTTGTATTTTATTTATATCATACCCACCCAAGAAAACACGCCTTTCAATGCAAG